GAGAGGGGCGTTAAGTGAGAAGCTTGCAGCAGCTGAGCTGCACACTGCTGGGCTGGTACGGGGGGATGCCCAAACTCCTCTTCCAGCCCTGCATCCTGCAGCTCTGTGGGCTCAAATAGCAGCCCTGCACCCAAGCTCACACTTGGTGTTTGGGAGTAGCCCTGAGTGTGACAGACCTCCTCCAGACTCCTGTCTGGGTGGGTCACAGCACCCTTGCCCACAGCGAATCCCTGCCAGCAGCCCTGGCCTCACCGTGGCGTTCGCTTGCTTCCAGTTATGTTCTGGCGCTCGCAGACTGGCATCGTGTACAAGGAGCCTGCCGAGAGCTGCAAGGACAGCCCAGTGCGCTGGGGCGGCATCGTGGACTGCTCCCATTTTTTTTCAGAGGAGCGACGAGCTGGGCTGCGGTGAGGAGCCAGGGGTGCTGGGAGCGAGGGGAGCCCCGGGGTGCTGGGTGCCACTGACCCTCCTGCTCCATCCCCGCAGTGCGCTTCGCGTCCGACGAGTCCTTGCTCCATGTCTACTCCAGCGCTGAGAGCCAGTGGCTGCCGGGGTGCAGGAGCTTGACTCCTTCTCCAGAAAGACCTGCCGGCAACTGGGATTTCAGAAGTAATTCCTGGAGGATGGGTTGTCCCACTCGGGCACTGGGGCCCTGCCAGTCCCCTGGGTGTTGCCCTGGCTGGTTGCACTATCTGCTGTGCTCTTCCCCCAGCGCTGTGCTTTTCTGCTGGGAGGCTGCATGTCCAGCACTGCTGTGGGTGTTTTAGGCCATCCCCCCCAAGTTTAGCAGGCAGAGCCTCTTGGAGAAGACAGGGACTGGGGTGCTCAGTGCCTAGCCAGAGCAGACTCTCACTGCCTCTCTCTTCTCCCCTCCCAGTGCGTCACAGACCGAGTATGTTCCCCTTCGTGTCTCCGGCAAGAGCCTCACCGTGACTGACGAGCGGGAAACCATCCAGCAGAGCCTCAACAGGTACCAGGCAGCATCATGCCCTGCCCTGGTGCTGCAGGGCTGGAGCTGAGGCTGAGCCTGCGTCTCCCTCTTCTCTCCTGCAGCTCACAGTGTCTCACGGGAAAGTACGTCTCCCTCCGATGCACAAGTAAGGGGGCTGGCTGGCTGGCAGGGCACGTGGCCGAGGGTGGGCAAGGCCAAACGCATGCTTGGGCACACGGTTCTCTGTTCTTTGCACAGGGTTGGGCAAACAGGGTGCTTTCCAGCAGCCTTTCTGGGTGACAGAAGACCACAAAGATTGCGTTCTCATGATCTCTACTGGGCCCTGCTAGTGCACCAAGTACCGCCGGTGCCTGCGGGCGGTGTGGATGTTGTGTGCGAACCCCTCCAGACTAGCTTTCTCTCTGAGCCCTGCTCTCCCCTCCAGCCTGCGGGCAGAGGATTTCTGGCCGGATCATCGGAGGAAAGGAAACCTCCGTGAGCAAATGGCCCTGGCAAGTCAGCGTGCAGTACGGGCCGATCCACATCTGCGGCGGCAC